GGACCGCTCAGCCCGCTCCGCCGGTCTCAGAGGTCAGCTATAATGGGTGCTATCTCTCCTCACCACGCCCGCCCGGCCGGGCCTTTCTCCGCGAGCCGGCCGACCGCCGTCCGACCCTGGCCCGTCTAACCGTCTGACCGGCTCTCGTCTGACCGTCTCCCGCATGACCGTCTAACTGTCGAATCATAGTTAAGGATGTCCATCTAACGTATACACTTCCCGTTTGCTCGTTTATTTCTCTCTCGTTTGAGCGCTTGTTAACTCTCCCGTCTTTCCGTTCGTTTGTTTTCATGTCTGCCCATATCCCGACTTAAGTTTGTCCGTCTTTACCGTCTTTAACCATCGAACTGTCCTCGTTCTCCCCGTCTACCGGGTAACCGGTCTGCCACCTAGTTTTACCCAAGATTACTTTACTACTAGTTTTACCCAACTCCCTTCTGTCTACCTACATACCTTTGCCTTCAGCCCGTCGTCCCGTCTCCTGTCTGCTTTTTTCCAGCTACCCCATGTCCCGCTTGTTCGCCTGCCTCGCCGGTCATGGGGTACCGTTTGACCTAGCTACGACCATTTTCCCGAACGATGAACACCTTTAATGGGTCTAAGAAACCACTCGTCTCATGGCATCGAGGGGAGCCTTTGCACTCTACACTCACCTTTCACCTGCCCAGAGTTACCAGAAATGTTGTTGACATTGTTCAATTAACTTTTCCTCTCATTCCTTCTAGCTTACTGCAAATACCGTCATAATTACCATGCTCTTTCACGCTGGTTTCGTATCACGAATCGTAAAATGTATAGTCACAAGGTTACTTACTTGTAATTACATAACACGAATAAATCTACATCCGGTCAGCTGCCTCTAAATGACTGCAAATGCCGAGCACTGCAATCGCCCTATAAACACTGTGAGTGTGTCGCGGGCTCTGGACTGCGTTCTCTGCAGGGCGCCGGCTGTCGAGCCGACTGCAGGAGCGGCTGGGCCATGTCAGTGACCCTACCAACCACCCTCCCCTTCCCTATCGCCGTCCGACCGGGGAGCACCTGTCGCCAACGGCTGTTTGTCTAGGCCGGGCGATGTTGTCGGTCGGTCGGGCATAGCGCCCCACCGTGCTGAGCCGTGCTGTGCTGACGTGGATAGTTGTAGGAGTTAGTGGGGACGAGCCGTGACCGTCGCTGCCGCGCTATCAGCCACGTGCAGTGCAGGAGGTGATGGGACGGGGACTCGTCTGTCTGCAGAGGGTGTATGCTGGAGTGCACGGTACGAGGCGGACGGGGCCGGGTCGTCAGCCCCTGCAGGGGTGCCGGCAGGGACGACAGGGCCGATGTCACCGTACGGAAGGTCAGGCCAGTGGCCGGTCGCAGAGGGTCGGAGTGGTCCGGTCTGACCGGGTCGTACCAGATCGGACCGGGTCGGACCACTGATGGTCCGGATAGGAGCGAAGGTCGGCAGGGGCGGCGCGCCCTATGACAGGGCGGAGACACTAGCGGTCATCAGTCAACTGTCAGTCCGTCAGTCAGCTGTCAGTCCGTCATCTGTCAGTCCGTCAGTTGTCAGCTCTAGTCATCAGTCATCGGCGGCGCCCGTCAGCTGTCAGCTATCCGCGTCACCTTCCGGCAGACATCTGGTTTCTGACATACCTCAGAAGAATCCCTTACTCATTGACTCCCTCCGATCTTTCACCACTCGTGCTCCGACTTTGACCGCTCAAAAATATGCTGAGCGGTCAGCATTCTCAAGGGCACCCACCTTCCATATAAGATCATACGCACACTGCAGTCACCCACTCCACACAGCTCCTCTTAGTCATTAGGGTAAGGGCGGGTAAGAGTACGCGGGCGATAAGAGTACGCATCAGCTGTTTTGGTTGCTTAGCAACGCGGGCATGTCGAGTTCATGAAGTGACATGAAGCCAACATGAAGCCGCCAGTGCGTGCTTGTCACCAACGGAACGTGGGCGTTGAGCGGCGATGCTGTTGAGTTTAAGGCGATGAATATTATTTTCGAGCGCTATGATATTATTATGGTATGGTACAATTATTTTGATACTTGGCAGTTGAGATAAGGTACATTTTCGTGATTGTTGTGGGAAACTTGTGAGGTTATCTGGGGAAATACTGTGCAGTGCAATATTATGTTTCCGAAGTTTTGCATAACGTTTCGGGGTTGTTTTGTGCGCGAATTGCATGTACGGTAAGAGGACGCACTGTTCAGGAGGGTAAGAGTACGCAGAATTATACATTAAATCGAATATACAGAAATATAAAATTATTAATATATCGCTCAATGACGTTTGTTTTGTAGGTATATCATCAATGGAGCACTGTGATGCAGATGCGTACCCGAAATTCTTCCAAATACGAGTTATTCTCCCTTTTGATTGTGCGTTTTTTTAAAGAAACACACGACATGATTATTTCCTGATTTATAGACTTGAAATATTTATTTTAAGTTTTTCTTTTTGGATACTAGAATTAACTTAAATGCCTTCTGAGTTTGAAGTTAAGCATTTGGACAGTACAAGCTGCATAGGTGTGTGTTCATATGCTTGCGTACTCCACCCGCCTGGTGTGCGTACTCTTACACACCCCATATGGTAAGAGTACGCAACTGCAGCGGTTCAGAAAATGTCAGTTTTAGACCACTTCCATTTACGCTGAAGGATCGTTGCCCCATGGGTTGATGGCTAATTCAATGAACTTTAATATTCCCTATTTGCGATTTCTTTCTTTCAAGTATTAAACAAATGAGAGCAAGAAATCCACTAAGTGCGTACTCTTATACGACTTCACCCTACGCTGGAACACCGTTTTCGCTCTTACGTCGGCCTTCCATCCTATCCATTGTCTGTTGCCTCAGAGACAATCGTGATGGCTGACTGACTCAGCCCCTGAACTTCGAACAGCCAGTGGCACCTGCCCGCGTGCGTCGGGTGAACGCTCTCCGTCCAGCGGTTGTTCCTTGAAGAACCGCCGAGTGTTACGCGCCACGGTGCCACGCCCGTCCTACCGTATCTCCGCTCCGCGACGGAACGAACTTCGAAGCGTTACGAGTGATCGCTTCTGTCAGCGAACTGTGACCGTTTGCGCTGGCAATGAACTTACTATTTTGGGTGCCTCGGGCTACGGTGAAAAGTTATTTCAGTGTTACGCTCTCGGAGACCTCAGATTTCGCTTTACCAGTTCAAATGTCACTCGTGTCTTTCAAAAGCCTGCAGTGCTGAATGAATTGCGCTCACGTCGCCGAACTCCGCCGGTCGCCCTCGGTAAATCCCTCTCGAGATGAGTTGCCACTATGGAGCGAGACGTAGGGCGTGACTTCCCGTCTAAGTCTGGCCTCTGGGTGGATATTTATTTTCACAGTCTCGTGAGCGGCGACTCTGCTGTGTGCTGAGATGGGTGAAGTGATGACTCGAGTGGTCAAGGAGACCACTGTGTATGTAAAACGGTCATCACCGGTCACCAACAGTCTCCGTCAGCTGAAGTGGAGAGAGGAGCCGCCGAGCCGGTGTCCACTGAGCGACGGCCACTAGCCGCTCATAACCCTAGCCGACTGTCCGGCCGTGAACCGGCTGCGCTACAGCAACACGCCGGCGGCACGGCGCACGGCGCCGCGACACGGCACGGCCTTGGTGCAGCCGGCAGTCAGCTGAGTGCAGCCGGCCCTTTAAACGGACCTTGGCCGGTCCTGCCGCCGCCGCCGCCGCCGCGCCGCACGCCACTTCCTGATGCGGCCGGCGGCGGCGGCGGCGATAGCAACAAGCGAGTATCATGGGCCGGTCGGCTTAGCCGGTGCTGATAGCGTGCCTCGGGAATCGGGATCTGTCAGCACTGGCCAGGACGGCACGTGTGTTGGTAAACATGGCCCGGTGGGAGGGGGAAGGGGCGAGCGGTGTCTGCCTGGTGCAGCTGCGCCGTTAGGGGAGGGAGAGGGGACGGGTCGAATGGCGCTGGGGGACGGGTCGAATGGCGCTGGGGGGGGGGGGGGGGGTCGAATGGCGCTGACACACCGCTGACCTCTGACGGGCAGATGATGATGTGAGCCCACCTGGGTGCAGCCGAACCGGCCCAGCACGATGCGCTGAGCCCATAGCTGACCTAAGAGCCGGACATGCCGTGCATGCAATGTCTCGATTTGGCTCGATCGAACTGTCGGACCGGCCGTCGCGCCAGGCATTGTTGCACGCCCATTGAGTGGTGTGTTGACCGTCCTAATCGGGCCGATATGGTGCTGTCAGTCGCGGGCTGTCTGTCGTCTATTGGACGCGCTCGACACGCGGCACTGGCATTCCGGTGCTTGGTTAACGGTACTGAGCACCGGGCGCTTGGTCTGTGGGAGGACAGACTTGCAGTGGCCGCCAGCGGCTGACGATACTCGAATTCAGACATCAGCCGCCAGATGGGTACATCGTTCTACCCGTCCTGGTGACCGATAAATTCCACCATTCCGTGTTATACAGGCTGTGCCGTTTTACTACTTCGTGCTGTAGAAGCGGGACCCCAGAACGGTGCGACTCACGGAGAAATATTTGATAAACCTTCCCTACCGAGCCGAGCCGAGCAGCCGGCTGCCCATGACTGCGCCGAAGGCACACCGTTTATCTCAGTAGCGACGGAATAGTCAGGGCGACTTGTCACCGCTTCAATTTGCTCCTCCACCCCCCAGACAGAACTGTCTAGGCGCCCCATCCCTGCCTATGATAAATGCTCCTCTCGATCACCGCGAAACGCTGCTCCATTGTAATGGATATAAACTGGCACAATGATAAATGTGGTGCCTGAATGTGAACTTGATTTGATGAGAGTTACTAATCAATCTAATAGCATGACAAACATTCATGACTGAAAAACTTGCCTGTCTTTCATTAAGTCCCCAACAACGACATCCAACAACGACTCCCCGGTGACTGTGCGCTGCCACATGTCTATTTTCATCCTCTACGCCCCTCCCGTCGCCTGCGGAACCCCTCTCGGCATCTGCTGACCCGTCTGCTCCCTCGCAGGGAGCCTCGCCGCCGCCGCCGCCGGCCGCCACTCTGGGAGGGCCGTCTCTCCATGAGCTAGCGGGCCCTGCCCGGCCGGCTGCAGCAATCGGCACGTACGCCCATTCAGGTAAGAGCCGCACTCCGGCTCCGTGTGCTAGGGACGGGAGCATTCCTTGCTGGTGCAAGATGCAGTGGAGGGTTCTCGGTGAAGGGGTAGGTACCCTCTGGATCACATGTTCAGCTCAGGTCAGCCAGTTGTGGGCGTATCACGGCAGCATAGAACGTTTATGGGAAGGTATAGCTGGTTTGGATCGGTAAACCGACTGAGTCTGCCACCAGCTATCTGTGTGTTTGACCTCGCGACCTGGTGACACGACAGCCAGTCTCAACATGGACATTCTAGTGCACCATGACCTCCCTCTACTGAGCAAGCCGTGTTATTGCGACGCTAAATTGGTGTTATTTATAAACGTTTATATAGCCCGGCAGCACACTGTCGCGCGGATTGACAATCCGTTTAGACTGTGATAAATCGGGCTAAGTGATGTTTTTCAGGGTCCGTTTGGTGTCCATTTAAACGTGATCGCGAATGGCAATGTATCGGGCCGTCATTCGTAGCACGTTTTCCAGTATTACTGTATCCCTTTATTTTAGGTGCCTTTATTTTCAGTTTTAGTTTAGAACCATTAAAGTTTTTGGAACGACTTTTCGAGCGACTAGCAGCTGAAAATGGGACATAGAGCCACGGCGGACGTATGTAGGCATGAGTAGGTATTACTGCTCGCCCGACGCCCGTTCCCGGTCAGTGCCTCAACATCAGCCGTCATTGGCTCTCGAACCCGTTACCGTCGCTATCGTTATCGTAAGTGAGGATTTACGCTAAATCGCCGTACCTATCGATCCACAACGGCGGGACGATGAAGGTCGATGGCGTCATTAATTCCGTTAAAACATAGCAGGCTAATGGCTCAGATGGATCCTAGGTAAACGACAGAAAATAGAGGCCTCGTGTTGTCGCGGACGCCGGCCATTGAGCACAAAAATGAGAATATTGCTGAAAAAGAGAGGTGAGCCTGAGATGTGGGTGAACCTTAACTTCGGGCGTTTTGAGAAAGAAAAAAGAATTCTACAATGAATAGTCCATCGTGTATTTGACCAGTGATGTAAATTGTAACTGACATGGGCAGCTGATGGAACATGCAGCGACGACGGGATATCGTTTTATACGAGGTAGCTGATAGCTCTTGACTGGCATACACAATTGCGCTCTAATGCCATTTATTGAAGAGATACCACGTACTCGTATGTTCACGGGAAGTTTGCTTCACGGTCACCCGAGGCGATCGGCAGGCCGTGCAGCTTTTACCGAAAGCCACCACGATGATCCGAGGGGCCTCTGTAGGCCGCTGGCGCTGACTGGCCTCCGTTATATGCGCCTGTACCAAGTAGTCGCCACTATCAAAGCGTTCACGGAATCATCGTGAAACGCCCGGCTGGCCGGCGCTGCGGTGGCGTGCCGCCGTACCGTTGGCGGTACGGTGCCGGCTCGCCGGGCGAGCGATAGGCGAGGTTGGGCGAGCGGTGGGCGAGGTGTCTAGCTCGCCGGGAGAGCATTGGGCGAGGTGTCTGTATGCTTGCTGTGCGAACGACGGGCGCGGTGGCTGTAGGTATGCAAAATCGTTCGGGAACTCATGCTTATTTTTCAATAGATAAATCATACTTCTTACGAGTAGAGTTTTAATTATTGAGCACAAACCCTTGGTTATGCCTGTTGGGTTGGGAATTATCAATTACGTATCGAACGCGTCCTGGCTGGAAATATGACAGACAGACGTTGAGGGTTCTGTGATAGATGTTTGAGGGACACGTGACGTCCATCTGACGGACGTAAGACGGACACGTGAAAGACGTGTGACTGACGTGTGAAACAAACGTGCTTTCTCGTGTGATTGACGTGCGAGGTCTTACTTGTGATTGACGTGTTACGAACGTATGGAGATGTGTTTGTTCCGTGTGAGGTCCGTTTGACGATATACATGTGACGGACGTAAGACAGGTAGCTATGTGTTACAGGTAGCTATGCCAGACGTTTGCAAGGTCTTACTTGTGACGGACTTGTGACGTAGTGTGACAGACATATGCCGGACGTTTTATGTCTGCATTCTTCGTGGCCATGATAGAGACGTCTGACTAACATAACGCGTCAGAGCTGTATCTACCGACGGGAGACGGTCACGGTAAAATGCGCCGCGCGTGGCCGTCCGACTGTTACCAAGATTACTTTACTACTCACTGTTACAGCTTTAGTCACACCGTCCGACTGTGACAGAGTTAGTCACACTGTGACGGTGACCTGACTGTGACGGCGGTGGTCTGTGGGTGTGACCGTGACGATAAGCTGTGACGATAACCTGTGGCAATGACCTTCAATGATTTCTCCGACGATGACCTGTGACGATGACCTGTGACCATTACCTGCGTCAATGAACTATGACATAACTTGTGACAATGACCTGTGATAATGACCTTTGACAATGACCTGTGACGATGAACTCTGACAATGATACCTGACGGTTACCAACCTATTAGCCGTGGCCGGTGTTCTGACCTCCGTATTTCCTCTGTTCCAGGCCTGCCGTGGCCGGCCCCCGGCAGCACCATGGAGGCGGTGCAGACCTCACAGCGGCCCCACTGGACCCGCCTGACGGACCCCGGCGCGCCGACCGGCCCCGGCCAGCCCCCGGCGCCGCCCGGCCGCGCCAGGTATGGACAAAACGAAACTGAGGGCTGCCCAGTGTCTTGTCGAGGGCTCTATCGTCTTGCGACATCCTTGGCCCTGGCCCTACCGTCACCCTCTATACGTCATGTGACGTCATTTCCATACCACTTCCGATTCGCGGAATCCTCATTCGTTGCCAATTCCGATCCTTTTCCACACTCAGCCCAGCTGCCCGTTACGCCCGTCCCTCCCAGCGGCAGCCATACTTTCCCGACGTTCGAGCGTTGCCCTTTCTTGCCGAGTGCCCAATGTTTGTATTGTGGTGTGTGTTTCGCTCGTGCCTGTGTTCGTCTCCACGACATAGACTTATGAGCTCCGTGTCGAGCATTTGATGGATATCGTGTTGGCTGAATCCAGCAGGGCCGAACGCCGCTAGAAGAGTGATTATCTTCCTGCTATGTCAATATTTTAGTTTTGCACTTAATTCAACAGCACGCCCTGCCCAATTGCAACCGCACTCTCTGCCATGGCTTGTAAATAGGTATTTGTTTACCCGCCCGTATGTTGTACGCGCGCTCCTCGTTGTAGACGGGTGAGCCGGTGGGGGTTAGTATTATTGGCGTGTGTACCACCAGTATAACGCCTTTTGGGGCGACTAACGGAGCGAGCGAGAGGGTGGGCCTTGCACGTGCGAAATAGCGAGGGGGTACCTCCAACTGACTTGTGCACGGCACCCTACTAACCGGTCTCTAGCGATTTGCCAAATTTGGACACAATCGGCCCAGCCGTTCTCGAGATCTGGAAGCGGCACCCTGCACGTGCGCACGTGCAAAATGGGCCCCAACTGACTTGTGCACGGCACCATACTGACCGGTCCCTAACTGTGTACCAAATTTGAGCGCAATCGGTCCAGCCGTTCTCGAGATCTGGAAACGACCCCTGCACGTGCGCACGTGCAGCAGCACCCCAACTCTGGCACATGGATATGCAGTGCCTAGTGGGTGCCTACCTACATGCCAACTTTCAGCGCAATCGGCCAAGTAGTTACCGAGATATTGCAACAATTACAAAACTGACACCTCTTCGTTTTGCACGTGGCACGTGCCTAAGGGGTCACCCAAATGCTTTGGGAATAGTCCAATACTTGGTAGAAGGAATGAAGCTACCCTACAAAAATTACCGCATGTAAATCGGTCAAGTGGTTGCTGAGATATAAGCCTCGCAAAAGCGTCCGCACGGCCGGCCGGCCGGCCGGCCGGCCGCTCATACTCAGAAATTTCCGTTAATCTAAAGAAAGACTACGCTCGCTTCGCTCGCTCCGTAAACACTCCGTGCCAACCATCACTGGTTCGTTGCAGCGCGAACAGTCCGTTCCTGCCAAAGGGAGCGTGGTATGACGCAAGGCTGCGCGGCGCCGGCCTGGTCGAGCATCATCCGAAACTGCAGCCACCGCCGGAGCAGCCCAGCAAACTACCCACCCAGGTAAACGACCCGCGAGGCCGGACGAACAAAAACAACCGACACTGGCCGGCCGAGCCGAGCACTCCACGGGGCGGCCGCCGCCCCCGTCCGATCCCCGGCCGGCCAGCCGCCGCGCTCAGGGCCCGATCGGCAGGGCAGATGACTTTGGCGTCACCTTGTCTGCATGTGATGCAACTGATTTCGATTGTGGGATAGGTAGGTCTGTTCGGGGACGGGTCATCTTTTTCCGGTGATGTATTTGAGACATTTCTGTTTCGTCATCCGGTGAGGTCTTTGAACGTGGTCAGCGTGCCGTAACCGTTCTGCCGGCGGCCAGTTCTTTCAACTGGCGGTCTCAGCCCGTAATAGGCTACCGGTTACCGCTATGTGGTTCCAGTCTCCCTTTTGTAGCAGAGAAAACATCCGGACGTTTCTGTCTTCGCCTCGGTGAACGCCAGCCGACTGTGTTTGTGGACGTGGTTGTTAACATATTTAGGTTACGAACGCATTGGGTCTGCAGGCCCATATCTGAGGCGAGATTAGATCACACGATTTAACGGAAGGGAGATACGCCACATCAGGGGGATCACAGAGCACCACGGACAATGACCGGCTATGGGGGCTCGTTAGCCGAGAGGGCTGAGCCGGACTGGTGGACTCTGCCGACCCCTGACCGTCCGTCGGTCTGTCTGTCCCTGTTGCAGCTGGGTAGAGAGGGCGCTGTAATCGGCGGCAACGACCTCCATACAAGCGGCAGTGCTCCCAAGCGGCTCAAGGTAAGGCGGAGTCAGGATTGTTTGTTTTGTTGGGTTAGGCCCTTTCGGTCGACAAGACCATTGCAGAGCCGGTAGGATGATAGGAATTAGGGGGAGACATTGGTCTGGACAGGCATCCTAGTGAGTCGCCGGGGCTGAGCCCGTCCGAAGACAGGCCACCCAGCCCCAAAGCACTCACTGCACCCGGCTACGGGGTGCGCTCCCTCAGGAGCAGCGGTGCCGCTCCAAGGGAACAGCCCGCATGAGATAAAGTTGCCTGTCCAGCCCGGAAGGGGGTGGCGGTGTGGAGGAGAAGGATTTCAGTATCCTGAGGATAGAAGCACGGATAGGTGAAGTCAGGATAAAGCAACTGATTAACAGCTGACATTGTCGTGGACTTTCTGTATTAGCCTTCTTTTATATTGTAAACTAAAGATCGAGGCACTTTGTAATGATCGTTTTACCTCCCATCCTGTGATGTAAACGTTGGAGCTCGAGTACTTTCCGTAGTTTCCGTGTTTCTACCTGGGTAATTATGACTGCTGATGAGCCCCCTGTGTGATTTCACAGACGGAGCCGGTGGACCCGGCGGCCAGTCGAGCCCAGCCTCCGCCTCCCCCACCTCAGCAGCAGCAGCAGCAGCAGCAGTCTGACGCGCCGCCCTTCTACCTGCGGCCCGAACAGCTGCAGCTGCTCAGCTACCTGCAGGCGCACCAGCGGCAGCTGGGGCCGCAGCAGCTGCAGCAGCTCAACCAGCTGCAGCAGCAGTACAGGTCAGTGCCACCAAACCAGAGCAAAGGGCGTTGGATCTTTGGTAAACCCAACCGGTCAACCGATATTGGTAGCGCTTTGGCGCTCATTCATGCGAGGGAAATCTATAGATTAGAAACAGTAACCGCAAGAAAACTAGTGTTTTATTCAAAACTAAATTGAGTCATGGGTTGGTAGCGTTATGATAGACTTCTTTGCTTTTGAAGCATTCCTAATGCGTCATTGAGATCCAATAACTGTGTTGTTGGAAATATAACCGAATACGGTGAACGGTTTGAAACGGTGTTCATATCCGGTAAATGTTTTGCAGGTTGATGCAGCAGCACCAGCAGCAGGTGAAAATTCAGCAGCAGCAACAGCAGCAGCGGCTTCAGAGGCAACAACAGCAGCTTCTGCAGAAACAACAGCAACAACATCAACAGCATCAACAGCATCAGCAGCAGCAACATCAACAGCAGCAGCAACAACAACAGCATCAACAACAGCAGCAACAGCAGCATCAACAACAGCAGCAGCAGCAGCTGGAGAAACAGCAGCACCAGCAGCAGCAACAGCACCTGCAACAATTACAGCACCACCAGCAGCAACACCAGCACCAACACCAACAACAGCAGCAACACCAGCAACAACAGCAACAACAGCAGCAACAGCAAAAGCAACAGCAACAACACCAACAAGAATTACAACAGGAAAGGTTACAGAGGAAAATCGACCAGCAACGCGAGCAACAACAGCAGCTGCAGCAACAACAGCAACAACTGCAGCATCTCCAACAGCTGCGACAACAGTACCAGAAACAGTTGGAGGAACAGCAAGAGTTGGAGCGGCAACAACAGCAGCAGCAGCAACAACAGCGGCAACAGCATGCACAACAACAGGAGCGGGAAAGGTTGCTGAGGATAGAACAACATCAGGAACAGCAGCGCCAGCAACAACAGCGAGAGCAACAGCAGCTACAACAACAGCAACAGAAACAACAACAACAGCAACAACAGCAGCACCAGCAGCAGCACCAGCAGCAGCAGTCAGGCGGTAGTCCATGGCCCCGCGCAAACTCCCAGCCCCTGCAGGAGCGTCTGCAGCCCCGACTGCCGGCTCCGGAGCCGCCGCGGCCCGTACTTCCCCCAGTGTCCTCCGCTGCGTCCCGCTCTCCACCGGCGCCATCAGAGGCGGCCCGGCACCGCTGGTCGTTGCGGGGGGACCGGCCGCCGGCGCCGCGGCCTCCTCCGGCCACCTCCGGCGCAGCAGAGGCACTGGCGGAAGATCTACTGAGGCAGATCGGCGAGCAGTCCGCACCACCTGTCGTCGCAGCAAGGCAACCAAGCCCCGGCCGGCCGGATGCGATGGCGCGTGACGATCGGATGGGACCGCCGCCGGCGCCGCTGTCCACACCGTCGGCGACACCGGCGTCCACTCCGTCATCGGACTCGTCCTCAGCTCCGCCGTGCAGCCCGGCGGCGGCTCCTAGTCCGAGCTCGGAGAGCTCTCGGGGAGTCAGTAGCAGCAGTGACACCGCCGGCAGTGACGCCGCCGTCTCACCAGGCGAGGAGCCGGAGTTTAGTGTGCGGCTCACGGCGGCTGAGGTGGCCGCGCGGTGTCGGGGTCGGGGACAGCTCGGAGTGCCCAGCCTGAGTATGGCTGCACCGCGCGCGTCAGACCCGAGCAGCGGGGCGCCCCGAGCCGTGCTGCGCCGTGACCAGCTGCCGCAGCAGACCCCCTCTGTGCTGGTGGAGAGCCGCCGACAGGCGCACAGTCCGCAGCTTCAGGAGTTTTGTCTGAAGAACCCGGTGGCGGTGGTCAGAGGTATCGCCGGCGCCCTGGGACTCGGTGAGTGACGAGCGGGAGAGATTAGGTGTGCTAAAGGGGTTCTGGTGATTAGCATGGGAACGACTGCTGGTGAAAGTGTTAATATTTCGGGCCCATTCTTCTTGTAGCGTATGCTGTAAGGGCTTGTCCAGAGAAAGTGCTGCTTTCCAAGCTGTTATCGCAGTCGTTTCGATTCCAGACCTGATTAGTGCGTATAATCAGCTTGACAGTTAGAGTAGGGATTGGAGACTGGAGCCTTTGCAATGTGCAACAAACAACTTTGTTGCTAATTTCGGTCACGCTCACCGGTGTGTTATAACTCTCCGTGGTCCGTGATCCCACAGATCTCGGCCTGTTCTCGACCAAAACTCTGGTGGAGGCTCACCCGGAACACACGGTGGAGGTTCGGAACCAGGTCTCCCAGTCCTCCGACGAGAATTGGGACCCCACCTTCAGCCGCAAGGTCTGGGGGTGTATGTCGTCACGCAGCCACAGCACGGTGGCAAAGTACGCCCAGTACCAGGCGCAGACGTTCTCCGATAGTCTCAAGGTGAGGGACGACAGTGACCCATTTTTGGACTCGTTGGGGGTGCCGAGCGGCTGGCACAACGCTGGTGTTCGTGAAGTTATACTGGGAACGAAGGGGCGATCTTGATGAAAATATAGCATTTTTTTTTTGCAAATTGATGCTATGTAAATATATGTAGGGTTTTGGTGTGCTTGCACAGCAGCAGTGTTCTAGGAGTGTATTAACATTTCGCGAGATGTTGTGCTCGTGTCCCCCCCCCCCTCGATATCCCTGACCTCTGATCTCCGTTCCCAACAGGAGGACCACGAGTCCAAGCCAACGACGCCGCGTGACTCGGACTCCGATTCTCGCGACTCGTTCTCCAAGTACCAGCGACTCGGCCAGAAGCGCGGCCACAAGACCATCAAGTTCGGCACCAACGTCGACCTCAGCGACGAGCGCAAGTGGCGCCCGCAGCTGCGAGAGCTGACCAAGCTGCCGGCCTTCTGTCGCGTGGTCTCGGCCAGTAACATGCTGAGTCATGTCGGACACCCTATCCTCGGCATGAACACGGTTCAGCTGTACATGAAGGTGACCGACTGCGGGAGTTCGGGCGGCTCGTAATCTTGATTTGGAGAAAGGCATCGTATGACATATGATATTGTTATATTAGCGTAGTCTTAGGGACACCGTTAGCATAGCTTGGCTACATGGTTGGGATGAATATGGGTGAATGTGGTCTTCCTCTAACATTTGTTTTTCGCGTTTGTCACTAGAGGTCGATGATGAATGTGCATCACTATCTGACGTGGTGGTCGTATCCATGTTAATGATGTGCGATGGCTCTTCCTCTAGGTGCCGGGAAGTCGCACGCCGGGTCACCAGGAGAACAACAACTTCTGCTCGATCAACATCAACATCGGACCGGGCGACTGTGAATGGTTCGGCGTGCCGGACGCCTACTGGAGCGTCATCAACTCGCTCTGCGAAAAGTAAGTGCACCACCGGTTGGAACCAAGGAGAGGCGGATTTCATGGGAGAAGAGAACGGATGTTCGTATCATGTTCGATATTCGTGGTTTAGACTCATCTGTGACGCAGCCTTTAGAGCGCCAACTTGGACTGCAGTTTAATCAGATGGTCTCTCAAAATATCTCGTTTAATTGCTCGGTCTACCATGCTGACTTCATAACGTGCTGTGTCCCGATATCCAATGATCTTGTCTGATCGTACCGTTTTCGTTTCGCCCTCAGGAACGGCATCTCGTACCTGCACGGCTCGTGGTGGCCAGACATGGAGGAGCTACTCGACCACGGCGTTCCCGTGTACCGGTTCATGCAGCGGCCCGGCGACCTGGTCTGGGTCAACACGGGCTGCGTGCACTGGGTGCAGGCGGCCGGCTGGTGCAACAACATCGCGTGGAACGTCGGACCGCTCACCGCCCGACAGCACCGACTCGCCATCGAGAGATACGAGTGGAACAAGATCCAGAAGTTCAAGTCGATCGTACCCATGCAGCGGTTGAGCTGGAACCTGGCGAGGAACATCAAGGTGTCCGACCCGGAGCTCTACAAGAGCGTCAGGTACGGAGACTGAGGGACGAGAGGAAGGTGGGCGCTGGGAGGTGACCTTAGAATACAGACGAGTGATGCTATATTGGGGGAGTACATCCGATAGATTATTCCGATTATCCATTGCAACAAGAACCTCGGTGTGGCGATTTGGATAGAATATTCTGACATGCATTTCCTCGCTGAACCGTCTTCAAGACATGTAATGCGCCTAACAAGGCGATAATGTATGCACGAACGTAGCGAGAACTTCCCCAACAATGTTTTGATAAATTTGACCTAACCTGACCTGACCCACCCCGCCTCTCCCCGCCAGGACGGTGCTCCTCCAGGGCCTTCGCCAGGCGTTCTTGGTGACAGAGCTCGCCCAGCACTGCGGCGTGGCAATCCGCTTCCACGGCCGTGGCAAGAACGAGAGCTCCCACTACTGCGGCACCTGTGACGTAAGTTGAGATGGGGCGGCACCTGGGGTTGGGTTGGGGCGACGTGAGGCGTGAATTTGGGGTGGGACGGTCCGTGGGTAGAACGTTTCCAGTTTCGATATTGCTTTCCTTATGTTGCTCATGTTGTCCGAACGAGTCACTTCTGTGTCCTGAAAAACAGCAGATGAATCACACCGATGAGATATCTGTCTCCTCACTGGCTTCGTTGACCATAGTTAGCATAGTTAACCAACCATAGAGCACTGATCATAGGTCAGCAATCTATTCGTCTGTTAACCTCGCCGCTGTACCAGAATTACCCCCGCTGTTTCTCGCGCCGTCTGACCTCCATCCCTTCTCCCTCGCCAGGTGGAGGTGTTCCACATGCTCTTGGTGAAGGAGAACGAGAAGCGACACGTCGTATACTGCCTCGAGTGCGCGCGCCGCCACTCTCCCCAGTTGGCTGGATACATCTGCCTCGAGGAGCACACACTGGAGGAACTGCAGGAAGTGTACGACAACTTCGTCCTTCATCCGGTTAGTGAGGGGCTGGGTGCGCTGCGGGGAACGCATGGTGCGCTAGAATGCGACTGAGTGTGTTGCGAGAAAAGGCGTCATTGTCTGCTGTTTGCTCATGGAAAACGTAATTAGCTGTTGCTGGTCAAGTAAAGCTTATATCGTTAAAATGGTTTGATAATTTGCAATTTGTTTGCTGGTTTAAGATCATTTTCCCACACATTAGGCAGAGGTGTTATTACATTATCATGTAATAGGTTTCCCATCCTGCCCCGAGACAGACTGCATTGCTGGCAGAGGTCATCGCTTTATTTCGTTATTTCTCCTGACAACTGATGCCCTTCTACCGTTTATCGTTGGTCACCACCTTTCGTTTTCCGTTTCAGTCACCGCTGGCGCCACCATCGTGATGTTCCGGTCGGGAGAGGGCCTCCGCCTGGTCCCCGTGCCGTCAGCCGGCCACCGTTCGACCTCTACTCTGCTACCTCCATACGTACACATAGCGTCCGGCGACGGTGTCCAGTCCGCAGCCGCCAGCGGCCAACACTGCTCCCCAATCACTCACAACTGCTCCACGAGATTCCACAGAACGCATCGGCCCTGACTGGGTACCTCTGCAGTTATGTAGGTGTTCGTACCGCCGCGTCAAAAGCTGCTACTGGTGTCTGCTGCCCGTGGTGGCTCGAATATGAACGCCCTCCTCCCTCCGCCCCCCAGTTCCGTTGGTCTCCAAAGGGGCGGCCATGCCGTCCCACAGTAATCCGTCACTGCCATCCGTGTCAATAGCGTCCGGCCGTGCGCCGCGTGTTCTCATCTGATCTCGGCCCGCGCCACCGGCCGGCCGTGCCCGCAGGAACTCAGTCCGGGGCTGCTCAATGCTGACAGGACAGGACCGACCCGGCCGCCGTCCTACTGTGTTTATACCCGCTGGCATAACCGTTCCGTGGCTCCGTGAATGAGACTATTTATTTGTTCCTCGCCGTGTGTTCTAGCAGATCATAGGTTATTATATAGTAGTAATAAGACATATTTCGGAGGAGGGCAGGAGCGTGTAGGCGGTAATAGTGAACTTGTTTGAGTGTTCCTATGATGTGTAGTGGGTGAGTTGTTTTGTTTTTCATACAGCAGTTTTATCGGATACAATGTCAGTTTGTGAGTGTGGCTATCACGCTACTCGATGTCCGGACTTGATGGTTGAATCGCAATGTGCTGTCTAACGACAATCTGTGTCTGTCGTGATTCTGTGTGGCGCCGGGCGTAACACTGTGTCTCTGCGCCTCACCTGTCTTGGTCTCACATCACAGGCGATAGTGAGTGGTCTCGGCGAGTGTGGGTATTTGTACTTTTTACCGGGCCTCTGGCCGTGCGTGTGTGCGTGTAACTAAGTGTGTCCGTACTGGCCTGTGGTGATGTCTGAAGTGGCGCGCGCCGGTGGGATGAGCCCGCCGCAGCGGATGCCGGCCGGGCTGCCGCCGGGGAGAGGAGACCCATCTACCTCGCCTCACTGCCTGGCCTCGACGGCTCACTGTCTGCGGTGTGACCAATACACGGCACGTCGGTACTCGGATGAGTGTGGGGACGTGAGGTAGGAAAGGAATGAAAGGGAGGCCTGGAACGCCCGGAAGCATTCTGGGATTCAAGTACCAGGGACAGCAAAAAGAAACAACGCGGTGCGCGAAGCTTTAATAACGGCCAAGTATCGCGACCCAGAAAACGTTTAATCGTGTGATTGTACTTCGACTCGACCCTCGCAGTGGTGTCTAACCAAACAAGTTTTGTTTGCTGGTATGCCGTTCCTTCTTCAGCGGATCACCATGCGCCGGAGCTTTCGTCTTTGCACTTCCACCCATATATTACCACTAACCCGACGCCAACAAATAACTTACGCTCTTGTACCCCGTCCCAAAACTCCAAGCTCCATTCAAGAACACGCCGAAACAATATACAATTTTTATTAGAAAATCGAAGGACACTGAGGCGAACTGAACAGAATCACAATGGTCGCCGCTGGCTGACATGATCCGGTCTTGGTCTCTGTCCGGGAGCGGGGCCGTCGCGGCCGCCGCGGACTCTCCTCCTCTCTCTCTTCACTCTCGGTCAGTCGGTCCGGCTCTCTCTCTCCGACGCGACTGACTGCGGTCCGATCAGGTCAGGTCAAGTCAGGTCGGGGCGAGTGGTGGCCGGTGGCGGCCCTCTCACGGCCGAAACTCGCCACCCATCAGCTGTCCGGAACGGGTGGAACGCAGGCCATCAGTGCGCAGAAACGCAACAAACCGCTAGCAACATGCAGGAAACGCTAATCAAACAACAGAGAAAACGAATCGCAATTATTGGTATGTGCAAGGTACGCGTCTGTACCGTGTTTCGTGTCAGTGTTTGTGTAGGATATTGATTGATGTCAATGTATCTCTGTGTGGTTTACTGTGGCGTCGATATTCGCTTGGGAGCGATACTATCTACAAAAGGGCTCAAATGGGGTCATTCTCGATCAAATAGAAAAAAGGGACTTTTCACCACATGAGCTAAGACTTCTAGTGAGATTCTGAGAGATCTAGGGTATAAGACAAAAACATTCGCCAAAATATCCCCAGCGATCGGCAGCATCTCTCCGCTCCCGGGACCAGGGTAGGACGTCACATCGGCATTCAACTGCCGGGCCTACCGAACGAGATTGCAGTCAAAACGGGCCGATCGGCTGGGGTGAGAAAACTGGCGTTTGGGGGTAGAATATCAGAAGCGACAGCCACGCTCGAGAATTACCTGCATATTCTTTCAACAGGTGTGTAATGTTGTCAGCAGATTCCCAAATACTGCCTGTGTATGTCTGTGTAACTTTGTGTATCTGTCTGTATGTCTGTATTTGTGTGTGTGTCTGTGTGTCGGTTCACCGTCAGCCCGGCTGACCCGCGCCGAGTGGCTAAGTACGCGGGCAGGGAGGCTGGCGGCGCGCAACGCGCGAACAGAACGCGCTCACTCTAACTCTCTTTCGCTCTAACTCTCTCTCGCACTCTCTACGTTTCTCTCCCTCATCATCTGACGTCAGTGGTGGTGGGCGTGGTGGGCTCTCGGTCCGGTGTCGGCGGCGGTCGCAGCAGTCGGGTCCGGGTGGCGTCCTGATCGGGGTAGGTCGGGCGCCGGGTCCGCTGGTCGACCCGGCTCGGGGGCAGACGGAGGCGCGCACGTGGAGGTCGGAGGTGGCAGCCGAACGGGCCGGCTACTTGCGGCCGCCACGCGGCTCGCCACGACCGCGCCGGTCGCCGCGGCCCGACGGCCGGCCGCCGCCGTCGCCGTTCCGCTCGCCCTCGGCGTGCCCGTTGTATCTGTGGGGATAGAAGGGTGGGTCAGACGGGAACAGACCAGCTGACAAAACAGAGGCAAGTGGTAAGTACCATTAGAGGCTGAGGACCTGACAGGGTAAGAAAAGCAATGTTACCAGAGGATGATGCCGAGCGAGGCAGAGACTGCCTGGGTCAACTAGGGGACGCCAGCGGTAGCGTACGTTTATTATCACAGCAAACTATCATTCCCTGCCCACTGTCCCCTCCGAATGTCTGACTTAAGACTGCCAATGCATCTCACTAAACACGGATAACGATCACAAGTTACAACCCTTCCACCCTCTGAGGGTAAACCCGTGTCCCGCTCACCTGGGCTCCCTGTTGTCCCTGTAGTCCTTTCCGTCGCGTCCGTCTCGGTTGTCGTACCCTCCCCGGCCGCGGCCGCGCCCCCTGCCGCGATAGGGCGGCCCGCCGCGGCCCCGGCCGCCGCCGCCGTCCTCCCCGCTGTAGTTTCGCTCTCCGCGGCCACGGGGCGGATACTGCGGTCCGCCGGCCGGGCCAGAGATGGTACGCAGCTGCTGGTCAATGTCCAGCTTCTCCTGGCGCAGCAGTTCGACCTCGTGCAGGTGGGCCAGGTGGTACTCGAGCAGCACCCGCGCCATCTCGATCGACTCCATGGTGCCGACAAATACGAACGGTACCAGACCCTCCTCGCGGGGCGTGGTCGGATTCGGCTCGTTCTCGCCCTCAATCTTGATCCGCACCTAAACGGAATGGTGGAGAAGGAAGCGCATCAGTCAAATGGAAAGCATAATTTGGCCGGAGTATAGCCCAGCCAGCATCAGTATTAGCTTAGCGGACGCCGCCTAGACCGTCGGTTCAAGATACAAACCGATAACGCCTACTATATAAAGGTATTTTAAACGAGTTTGCAGCGAGGAAACAATACAATTCAGCCACTTCAAATGTCACATTGTTCGACGAAAACTAGTTTGCACAATCTACAAGGTGAAGGGAGGCCGCCAGTGCCACTATTACGTTCTTAAATAACAAATGAGCAGTGTTTCCATCAAACACTACACCGCTTCCCCAGTCTTTTTACAAACCACAGCCCCAAAACAGAGCCGGCTGGGGCCGGCGGACTCACCACGCCACTCTTGTCGACGATCTCCTGGACAATGCGGCCGTTTTTGCCGATCACCTTTCCGACCAGCAGGCGCGGCACCTGGATCGACACCTCGCTGTACTCGAGGATGCTGCGCGCCTTTTTCACGGCCTCCTCGGACTCGCCGTAGATGCGGAACACGCACGTCTTCTCCTCGAGCTCGATGTTGGTAATGCCCTCCAGACGGCGCGCCTGCTGGATGTTGGCGCCGTGCGCGCCGATCGCCAGTCCCATAAGGTCCTCCACTACGGAGAACTCCTCAGTGTACCTGACGAGGGCGGAGATCATCCGGGTCACAAATCCTCCAGAACACTGAGATCAGTCCTGACACTCACTCGGGTCAAATAAATCTGTTCTCCCGCTATGGAGAGCTCATTTAGTTATGGCAGTCACTTATCTGCCCAGTGCCCATGCCCCTCCCCATCCAAATCACACCGGCTCTCAATATCAATAGTCTTCCTACTTTAAGATACGTAATCTACCTTCTACGGCCCCGTTCCATCGACTCACACGTTGCGGGACTGGGCCTTCGTGGTCTCCAGGTGTCTGGACGCCTCCTGAGTGCGCGACAGAAGCAGCGCCTTCTGCTTCAGACCGCGGAAGTGCATCTCAGACAGAATGCTGGCGCGGTTCTTCACTGCTGGCGTCCGGCCCTGCGACGAAACGGGAAGAGGGCATTGTCAGTTTGGCTGACTGGACAGCAAGGTTTCACTGTGATATGAAAATGCATACAAAGAAGTGGCTTGCGCTGAAATCTTATTGTCAGCAGAGTTCCCCTGGTACTTACCATGAGGAACAGGCTGTTCTTTTCTGGTATGAATTTGCATATCGCTGCACCACAGGCTTTCTGGAACTCCTTGTGTGCATTCTGCAGGTGTGCACTGGAAAAGATAAAACGGAGAGTGTCAGTTTTCCAAGCGTTTCTTCATGGTCATTAACACACGCTATCAAAAAAGCCAAAACAGATAATCATTCAGGCTAAATCATGCCTCCATATCTCAGGCTAAATCTTAATACTAAATCATAAATCTCATTTTTATGTAGAATATCCAAGACAGTTAGGATATATGATAACAATAACAGGTCAAATGTATATTTAAACACACAAAGCTTTCGGTATGAAAATACCTTGATCACTGTGTTAACAGAAATTATTATTATTATTATTATTGTTTATTCAGCATCGTCATGCGACAAAAAGATACATACCCTCCCACCCCACCCCACCCACCCACACACACAGTTAATCAGCACTCAGGAGGTTAGTAGTCTTAACAGGCGCCGCGAGGCCTGACAGTTGCTTGCCAAAACCATCTTCAAACTGTCTATAAGACCGCTTTCTTGGAGTGGTGCCCGGACTATGTCGTGATCGACGTACCCAGCAGCGATGTGCATGATAGCGCCGAAATTCCCACCACACAGATTATATACGTGGCCAATAAACGACCCATCCAACTGCTCGGGGTACGTAGCAAGTCTGGCCAGTCCAGTGACGTAGGCTTGGCGAAGACGGTGGTCAGCGCGGAAAGCATTACGGAATGCGCGGAGGGCATCACCTCGCAGCACCTCACCGATGCGAGGCACCCCAGCAGCAATCAAAAGAGCCGTATGGTGCGCAGAACGCGGCAGACCCAGCGCTGCCTTGATCAGCGAAGCCTGTCGCGAGTCTAGACGCTCAATGTCGGCGGAGCTGAGGGGAGCCGTCTCACAGCCGAAGATCAGTGCCGGCAGCACTACTGTCTTCCAGAGGAAGATTTTGTCAGCAGCAGTCAGGCGGTTGGTGAAATTGCCCAGGGGTGTGAGGCCATAGAATGATGCACAAGCACGCCTGATGCGCTGAGCCACGTGGCTGTCTGTGCTGAGGTTGTCATCAAGCACCGTACCGAGGTGCTCGGTCGTCTGCCGGATCTGCAGCTGCTGTCCTGACAGTGTCCACCTCGGTGTGCTCGTGAATAGTTCCTGTCCAAATATAATACAATGGCTCTTGGTTTTTCCCGGTTCAGGGTGAACGAAGTCGAGGCGCCAAGTAGCCGCGAATTCTCCCACCAGGAGAATTCAAATGCGGACAGAAATTTCTGTACTCATTTCTGTTAACACAGTGATCAAGGTATTTTCATACCGAAAGCTTTGTGTGTTTAAATATACATTTGACGTGTTATTGTTATCATTTATCCATAAATCTCATTCTTGAATCAATCAGGCACGCCGTAGAGTAAGAGTAGGTGCAGCTTCCGACAGTCTACCTGCATTCGTCACTCAACGAGATCCGACGGTCTGTCTGTACTCACTACTACATAGATGAGACCTGACTGTCTGCTTGTACCCACAACTCGATGAGATCTGACGTTCTGTTTTTATACTCACTACTCGATGAGATCGTCGGGCACGGGGATGTAGCACGAGTAGAAGGTGCTGTTGGTGATGGGCGGCGCCGTGTTCTTGGGCCGGATCTCGTCCTGACCGATGATGTCCGTGCGCCGCGTGTCGCCAAGACCGGTGAACTCGACCACGCAGCGGTCGCCCTTCACGATCTGAGGGGACACGCATGGTTAATAGCCACTCAATGCACGATCCTCGGTGGCACGAGCACCCTACGCCAGTGCAAACATACACAGCTCATCCGTAACGATCGATGAGGGTCTACTGGGACCAATACAACTCTTGGTACAAGACAGGGCTACGGAATCGGAATCGGAGTCGGCGGGAGTCGACAGTTCTGACCGAAATCGGAGTCGATTTCGGATACCAAAGCCCGAGTCGGAATCACCGGAAATCCATCAACTCCCCAGACCTGGCAGGGCGGCGGAGTCGGAGTAAGAGTTAGAGTCGGTCGGAGTCGATAGTGCTGCCCGGAGTCGAAGTTGATTTTCGGAAGCTGGACTCAGGAGTCGGAGTCACCGAAAATATATCGACTACGCAGCCCTGATACAAGATTACACAAGATATACGTCCTTTTACGACAATGCCCGGAAAACATTAATAGACAAGATAAAACATTCAAACACTTCCAGCAAACTTCCCTCTTTCATCACATGCATTAGTCACCCATAAGAAACTATATTTTCCGTTATAATCAACGAAATATATAATGATGAGCACCTATTTGTCTAGCAGTCACCTAGTTGTCTAGCAGGATTCACACCTGGACCTGACTTTTATCCAAGATCTTTGAGTAAGTAATCTCTAACACTAAGACAGGAACGCCGCAAACCTCCGACCCCACATCGATCCGCACAACGGCGCCAGTCCGACCCATACCAGCACCCACCTTGACGATGGCCGGCAGCCATCCGAACGGCGCGTCATCCTTGAGTCGCGAGTAGACCTCGACCTCGTCGCCCTCTGCGACGGGCGGCGGGTCTGCGGGCGAGGGTGGCGGCAGCCGCGCCGCCGACAGCGGCACCTCCACCTCGCCCAGCTGGCCGTCGTCGAACTTCACCCGGACCGTGTCACCTCGGCCGGCATCGATCACAGATGCCTGCCGGCCGGCCACCGACGGGTCAGCTCCTCCGGCCACAGCGGCCCACACCGGACCCGCGGAGTAGACGTCCACTACTCCAGAGTTAGGACACAGCAAAGGACACAACCCTTACATGTTGGCACAGATAAAAGGCTACCCAAGGTACTCATCCTTGTAGAAAGGGATACAGAAGCTGGAACAGGACATACTAGCACCTGCTTATCTCAAATCAGGCAACAAATCATTGTAAGCCATGCTCGCAAGTCGCAGCACGACAAAACATCTAAAAGGTAGCTCAACACCTTCAGACATGGTCAATAGTGCCTGTATAATGAAAGCACAACTAGTCAAATATATGTGCTCAAATTCTTATCATCACATAACTTCCATCACTTGGAAGAATAATGCTAATTAATGCTTTTAAAGAATAGGTTTATGTTTGAATGATCCAATAGGACCAGCTTGATGTCATCAAATTCACATCTTCTTGAAAGATCACACACTTTATGTGTGAAGTATACAATTGGATATTACCTCTGTGTATTACATCTATTGAATGTAGGACCCTAATTGACACAGCTCTTCACCATATTTTACCTACTAATAAAATTTATCAAATTTGCATTAGCTGATACATTTAAAGGCTCATGGCTTTACTGTTCTTGATTTGACTAGTTTAAATTTAGATATGATCAATGATAAATGTTACAAATGAAATAAATAAAAGGAAAAATAATGGAAAATGGGTACATTTTCTGGCCCAGGGTTATATTAAAATTAAAAAAAATTGATGCGAGCTAAGTCTTCCCACCTTCATTTAATATTTTATCTGCAACAGCAGCTACCTACTGTTCTTTTTACTTTCATTTATTTCATTTGTAACATCTATCACTGATCACATATGAATTTAAACTAGCTAATCCAGAACAGTAAAACTGTGAGCCCTTGAACATACCAGTTATCATTAAGTTCAAAAGTTTCATTGGAAGGTAAAATTTTTGGAGAGCTGTGTCAATTAGTTACCTACATTCTAAAGACAAGATACACAGAGGTACTATTCAACTAAAGGCCTCAAACATGAAGGATGTGATCTTCAAAGAAGAGGTGAAATTTAAAGACGTCCATGATTCTCCTGTCAAAGTGGTTGGTCAGCTGATGTGTTTTGGGGATAATAAATTTGAATGACCGGCACTCCAGTAAAGTAAAATAATAAAAATGAAGAGAGCTTTGGTGAGGAGTCAGCAATGTTTGTTAACAACATATAGATGCACTCATTAAATACTTAAAATGCAAATATCATTATGTTTGCAAGTTGCAACCATTCACTTAAAGGAAATAGTTCACATTTTAACATGGGTTTTGAACTGGAATAGCAGTTCCGTAGCTTGGGCTGAGACGAGCATAAATCAGGAGCTTTTACAGCCCAACGATCACCTTAGGCAAAGATATTCTATTTCTCGTCCCGAAAAATGTGTCTTGCGTTGAGGATGTGTGCCTTGCACATATTCGCATCCAGTATGAAACGAGCATGGGTCCCAAAAATTCTTCAGAAACTAGAGAAATTATCTACGAGAACTCTAGAGAAATTCGCTCCAGTGAGGCGCTCCAGTAACAAAAGCACGAGCAGATCGCCCAAATGCCGGTGGCCGCGATAATTTCTCTAGTTTCTGAAGAATTTCCGGACCCATGCTCTTTTCATACTGGATCGCGTGTGCCTTACAGAAACTGAAAAGTTCTTCCTATATCAAAAATATAGAAAATAATCTTTTGTTGTAAAAAGGTTTTATTTTCTTTGCTGATCATTTTGAACATAAAAAATCACAAATCCATTGCAAAAAAAATAATTTCGTGAAAGTGAACTATTTCCTTTAATCCCTGGAGAGCTATTGAAAGGGATATGACCTAAATCTTCAGTCAGGTGCCTCATTTGGCAAGAGGTGTTAGGTAGGTGTTAAGTTGGGTAGGTTATTTTAAGTCAGGTTGTTTAATTGTTTTTTATATCCATGAAGTTCCTGTCCTATGTGCCAATTTAACAATCAACCAGGCAAAGTTATGGCATCTATTGCATCAGGATCAAATGCCACACTCCTGCATGCACATCCATTGATGGGTAGGTACCCATCAACCGTCATTAATTTCATAATAGTATCTTCATATTAATTTAGGCCAGGGAAAATCAAATAATTTCTTAAAAATGCATGCAATAAGAAAATATAGACCTCAACAATGTTCCATTACTACCAAAGGATTTATCATTAAACCAAGACAAAACTTTTTAACTCAAGTGCAGCCTTATGAATCAACCAGCTACCTTCATACCTTAATTATTTGCATTCATCATCATGTCGCAAAATATGTTACAGAATATTGAAGTAAGAATACCATTATATTCACCAATAATCAAAATATTTGCCTAAAATACCGGCTTATCTTCAACGACCGTGACGATGCGCCACATACGCCTCGTTTTGGACAAAGTGATTTTATGCGTCTTGTGACACGAGACTCAATACATATTTGCCAAATAAATAAAAGGGGCGAAAAGGCAATCAAAATTATCAAAAATTCAACTTACCTTGTAATATCCTCCATCATCTCTCCGCACCTCCACGGCAAGCGCCTCCATCTTGTTGGGAGTCCGCTCTCGTCTGCGATTTTCAATGCGCAAGAATTTTTGTTGTCGAATCGCGACTCCTGGTTTTATGACGTCATAAACATAAATCGCAGCCCAGACCAACCTGGCTTAGTAATTCCGCCGTAAAAATAGGCTGGGCAATGTAGACGTCGAGTCCTAATGCATTGATATGGCACCTTGCACAGATCATTCCGAAGATAGCTGTGTCCGCCGCCAGAAGTTTCGCAAACTTGTGCAGGCACCTATGACGTAATATAACACCAGGTCTTTGACCTCTGCTCCAGTTTCCTCTCCGTAGCCTCCTATAGATGCAGCGGATGCAGCAATTGCTCCGTAGAGCTAAATAACGTGACTAACGCATAGTTGAAAGCAGAGTAACCCAAGGGTGGGCAGGGTAACACATAGGAAGATCAGTAATGGCACAAGTACATAGATGTGCCACAATAATGACACAAGAACCGGCAATGTGCCTTGTCCATCGAGCTGACCCGATATTTGCTTGTAGCAGCATACAACAGTCACTTCCACATAACCATGTGGCGGTTCAAAAAACGTATCGACATTAGCGTACGCGGACAAACATAGAATCGAGTAAAGAAAACCAGCGTAGAGACAAACAACACTTACATTTGCCATGTATTGAATAAAAGCGAGACAGCGTGACAGAAAGCAGAAGGCGGCGTTTCGTTCATGACGAAAGCGACGGGGCGACATCGGTTGGAAGACGGTCGTCCAGCACAGGAATGCTGATCGGTGCCGGTGCTAACACAGCACCGTCACCAGCACACATAAAGCATGACTGCAGCAGCTAGTGAACATTATTCCAAAGCCCGTCACTGCTCCTACATACCCCACCATTATCTACTGATGCGAAGATGACGCGATGCGCAATGAAGCTATACAGTATACACCGTTTTGCGGGTTTACTATTTCACCTAGAGTCCATTGTATGTTCTGACACTGCATCTCAAACGGCATCAAATTATCCACATAAGACCGGAACCAGCAACTGTAAGGCCTGACACCGACAGTCGCTTCAGTGCCTCTACGTGGCGGCTGCGGCGGCCGGCGCCGGGGCGGGGGCGGGGGCGGCCACGTTGGCGGCGGGGGCGGGGGCGGCGGCCGGCTGGCCGATGAGCGCCGGGTTGATGGTGACCGATTTGGTGGCGTTGTGCGTCTTGTAGATGCCCACCAGCCGGTCGGCGAGCTCGAACATCTGAGAGCGCAGCGAGATGATGATGAACTGGGCGTTCTTGGTCCGGTCCTGTCGGCACGAGGGGACGGGAAGATATGGTCAGTTGGTGACTTGGTGCCAACACCGGGCACGGTCCAAGACTCCTGGCTTTAACGTGTTCCAACACAGCGGTCCGATCTGAACTGGTTGTATTGGGTTCGGTCCACATGCCCCACGGAGGGTTCCCGGAGGCGGCCCCAGGCGACCCGCCGAGGGAGGAATAACGGGCGTGCCCAAACAAGCCTGGGTCGGTTCATTCTACCACATAATGGAGAATCGCTGTCAATGTTTTAGTCAATGTAGAGAATTAGAAAGCTAGCGCAAACCAGCTCGCTTCATCACAATGCTGAGATTCACTGACTACGTTTCCATGACACGTCTAAATCGATTTAGCGAAATTTCACGTGCGTTTTTCTCGGAAACTATTTACCTTATGCAAAAAATGAGCGTATATATGTTTTTGGCTAGCACCTAATCCTATATTTACATTTTAAAATTATGTCTAAATGCTATGATGGAGCAAATCCATTTTTCAAAACCGGCTTAACTTGTGCCATGGAAACGTAGCCACTGTTTCACGAGATTTGCAAGCAGTCACGCCTGGGCAGATAGATGGTACGGTTCTATCGTGCAAGGGCACCAGAGATATCCAAAGCTACGCAGTACGCACTCTAGCCTAGCCAGTCAGGTCAGGGAGCCCCGTAAATCAAAAGCTCAAGAACAAAAAATGCACATAGCTGTTTTATGTTACAATCCGTGCGTACATAAGCACGAGCTCATTACAAATAGGGGGGGGGGGGGAATCCAGTCTCTCCTGTCCCACTAAGGGGTAAAAATCCACAAACTAAAATCGCTCACCTGCCTGATGTCAATAAATCAGCCGGCAGGTATGTAATTGACATTCATTAGCCGATCAATTAAGAAAGGATAAAGGGCGATGGTTTGCGTGACGGCACCGTGGGAGTCATGAGACTGACCGTGTCACGATATCCGTGTCACCCAGGGTCAATCCGGGCCAATCACTGCTACAATGCCACAGACAGCATACATAATAACTGAGCACCATCGTCCGAATAAAATAACCAAGAAGGTGCGAAGAACATGAGATGGATAGCATGTGTCGAACACTATGAATTTCATTTCATATGGCTAATCGCTACCACGGATTTTTGCTTTGCTGCGCAGTGAAACGTATTTTTGACCGTCACGCTGAACCGTGTTGGATGAAATAAGCCATCATAGCCTATACACAAATATTCAGCATATTTTGACCAACCTAGCTTACGACCTGAAAAGGTGCACTATATAGTATATACTGTATAGCAGTAAGGTCGGCCCAAAATTATATCCGCTAAGTCCGTCTGAGGCAGAAATAGTCGGACCGCAACACTCGGACTTAGCCGATAGCCTGAAAGCCTGAATTCAATGTCGAAAACTAGCAAAGCGAAAGGCTGGCAAACGCTCAGTAAGGATGCTTTATGAAGGGCCCTGCTAGTTCACACATTGGCCAGGATCATAAACACTGAACACTTCGACCAGTGATTTCGTTAGGATAATCGAAACAGTGCAGAGGAACTTCCTTAACGAAAAACTTATTCGCCCTTAACGCGGTCAGCACACAACGGATGACGGAAGAGCACGGTCGCGGCGTCGGGTGATGGTGGATCGTCCGTGCGTGACAGGTCGAGCCCACCGGGCCCGACCCGGGGGCAGGGCCGCAGCCGCCGCGTGGGACCCTCCCACGAGGAGCGGGTGCGACATACCGGGAGCCAGGAAACACGGCATCACACACCCGCCGAGCCAGAGCCCCTGAGCGGGCGGGTCGCGCGTCGCAGACCGCAGTGGAACGTTCATACTGTGACGGTTAGATAGTTCAGTGGTCGGAGGAGTATTCTGGGTAGATCTCGCCCGTCTCTTCCTCACACCGTCCGGAGAGGAGAGGAGCGGCGCGCCATGCTCCCCTCTCTCGCCCTGCACGCGGCGCTGTGCCTGCTGCTGAGCGGCTCCACACTCGGCCTGCAGTTCAGCGGCCGGCGTGGCCGCGGTATGCGACTGAGCGGCGTCTCCTCCTGGAAAACGTCTCCGGTCAGCCAGCAGCAGTGTCAGATCGCCTGTGAGGAGCGCGCCTGCCGCGGCTACAACTACCGGCCGAGCACCGGCGAGTGTCAGGTGCTGCAAAACAGCGTCTGCGACCACCACTACTACTACACGGTGCGAAGCTCCGACTGGAGCTGGTACCAGGTGGTGGACGACTTCACCAGGGAGTCGTCGCAGCTGCTGTGGAACAAGACGCTCTGTATTCAGCGCGGCTACTGCAACGACAGCTGCGTGCGCCGGCTGGACGAAAACTGCCGGTACGCGGACCAGTGCGCAGAGCTGGTGTCGGGCCGCACGCGCTGCAGTTGGTACCGCTGCCTGTGCTCTTACTCCAACTGGAAGTTCAACGAGACACTCTGTCTGCCTGACTATACTGAGCTGCTGACCGACGGCCGTCACCCGGTCTGGAAGGAGGCCGTCAACAGTCTGTGCTACGCCAGTCTGTACGTGCGAGCTAACCATACCGTGCAGATAATACTGGCCGAGGGATATCCGGCGCCGGGTAATTTCTACGAGCTAACCATCGGAGAAGTGGGCAACGGCCGGCGAGTGCAGGTCCGACGCAACGGCGTCACCGTCGTAATAACGACAACAACGACCACGACCACCACCACAACGACACAGACAACCACCACTGCCACCACCACAACCACAGCGCGGAGCAGCTCATCCAACTGCACTGCCCTCGGAAACGACACCGTCTCCGGCAACGGTACAGACACAGGCTGCGAGTCTGACGGCAACACCACCACCACCAGTACCACAACAACTTCAACTACTCCCACAACCACTACAACAACCACAACCACCACAACTACAACCACCCCGCCGCCGCCGCTGTTCAGTGAATCGAGCTCCAAGTACTTGAGCGTGTACTGGTGTGGCGGCTACCTGTACATCTCACCACTCGGCCGAGGCTTTTCGAGTTTCTCCTGGAGAGACCCGTCCCCGCTGCGGCCTAACTATGTGGGGATACACACTCCGGCCGGCGGCACGGGCAAGTGGAAGTTCCGCGACAGGCTGGTCGACCCGTGGTTCGGAGACGACTGGAGTACGGGCCGGGTGTACACCGTGCCGGCCGGCACGGCCGTGGGCCGCCACCGCCAGCCGGCCTCGGGTGAGTTCTGGGTCCAGTTCGACTGCCGCTCGGCCGCCGGCTGTGGGTGGGAGGCGCGCTCCCAGGCCGCCTGGTACTCGAGCTACGTGATGCGGGTCACCATCGGTATCAACGGCACAGAGAGCAGCGTCCTGTGGCGGGGTCCTTCTGCCGACGACTGGACCAGCCTCGCCACCAGCCAGACCTCCAACCTGACAGACCCCACAGAGTTTCGCACGTTCCGGATACACTTTGCGACTGACAAGATAACCGTTCACCGCGCAGACGAGACGGAACCGTTCCTGTCCACTTCCGTCGGTCTGGGCACCTACACGGTCGCCTACGACGGCCCGTACAGTCCCGCGTCGGACTCGGACACTGCCGGGGAGTACCGGCTCGTGGCGTACGACACCCGCTGGAGCTACGAGAACGGGTTCCAGTGGGGGCTCTGAGAGGCGACGGGGACCTAGAGGACGGCGCCTCGGACCTGACCCACCTGATAATCATGCCTGCATACTCAGGCTACACTCAAGACTGTGCAGCGAATGGCGGCCAGCAGTCACACCATGCGTGGAGTATGAGGTCTTACGTTATAGTCATTACACTCTATTAGGTCGTTATTGTGTGAATGTTACAGGTAGTTTTTAATATCAAAACGCCCTTCATTGCAAGGAATAATACGCAAAGCTGTACTTGTACCGTGCTCTGTATACGCTGTATACGTGTATACGCTCGTGCTCGTACTTGGCCTAAACAGTACTTGTACCGTGTACGGAATTCATACTCCACTAGTGCGCTGCGTTATACGTTCATCATATGTGCGCGTCATTAACTGCCCAATGACACACCAATACATGCCTTAGCATCCAGGTGAATCCAAGTTACTGTCCGTTTTACAAGACATGTGTAAATGTTGTTTCGTATAATAAAAAACATTATCACTTAATGTTGTTTCCTCCCATCACTCGATGTCCTGCTACAACGATCGTTCTAAATGTTTGATTACAGCGTGATATGGGCGATGCCAAAAACTAATAATCAAAAACGTGCTGATGGACATATGGTGTGATACCAGAGTAAATAGTTGATGGCGATACCTACAATCACGTGGCAGCGCGCGCGACAGTAATTGTGAGAGCCGGTTAACCTCTGGCAAAGACCAGTGGTGGGCTTGGTACGCCAAACACTACCAAAACCATCGGTGCGGCGCCCACATCCGGTATGCATCACGGCCGGGCACAGTCAATGAACGATCGCTAAATGGCTACTTAGCTCTTCCTTCCGAGAAATAGTCTGTTTTACAATGACCCTTCAAAACAGTGTTGTAATTTTGATGAACTTTTTGTAAGTAAGAAAACATGTTCATTTTCTTACTTATGAAAACGTCATAAAAATTAAACACTATTTTTGGAAGAATTATTGTTTAAAAAAAACTATTTCAGCGGTAAATAATCTGTCGTAATGTGACCATACAGTTGTGGCCATACAGCATACCGGGTGTTGCAGCTAAATTGGGACAAAGTTCGTAACCTAATCACAATTTTGTTATTTGGAGGATATGGCTGAAAATTTGACATGATACTATTTCAACAATGCTCTTTCACGTGCTAATATTTTTGATGCACGAAAACCGATAACAGTCATGGAGGAACAGCGTAGATGTACAGTTGCTGAATTAGTTCGCGCTGGACAAAGCGCGAAAGAGATCGTTATCGCAACAGGATACCCGAAGTCTACGGTATATCGCACTGTCGCTACTATGGACGGTGGAGGAGATGTCAGTAGACGTCCCCATGCGCCGCGAAGTGACCGCAAACGGAATCCTCGGTTTCTCGCGGGCTTGAAAAGGTCTATTGAGGCCAAACCAGGTGTCTCAATGCGTAAGCTAGCGCGAGACCGAAGGGTGAGCAAAAGCACCATTAGCAGGGCTGTCAAGGAGAACCTCGGGATGAGGTCGTATAGTAGGAAACGGCAGAACCTTCTGACGGAGCGTCTAAAAGCGTTACGGAAGGAGAGGGTCCCGATGGTTCTGAACCAGCTCAAGAACCATGGAGGAGACGTGAGAGTCTTTGTGGACGAAAAGAAGTTTGTGGTAGACGAAGTTGCCAACCGCCGGAACTCAAGAGTCATCGCCTCGAACCCCGGTGATGTTCCACCAGTGATGATAAGCAAAAATCCAGCCTCTGTGATGGTGTTCGGAGCCGTCGCGAGCGACGGTCGCGTCATGCCCCCTCACTTCATACCTGCTGGAGAAAGAATCGGCGCAGAGGAGTATCTGGCCATCTTAGAAGAAGTGCTTTTGCCCTGGATGGCGAAGTACTACGACCTGAAGAAAGTCACACTTGTACAGGACTCGGCTCCAGCTCATGCTTCCCGGAGGGTGCAGGATTTCCTTAGTCGGAAGATCCCTCTGTATGTCCCAAAGGATACGTGGCCTCCAAACTCACCCGACCTAAATCCGTGCGACTTTTGGATGTGGAGCGCGATTGAGGAGAGGTCCAACGCACGTGCCCATGACAGCATCTCGAGCCTCAAGAAGTCCATCAAGAAGGCAGCCAGCAGCATCGATCCTATGGAGGCTCAGCGCGCGTGCGGCGCGTTCCGACGCCGCCTGGAGATGGTGAAGGAGGCTCATGGTGGCCACATTGAGTGAGAGGGTAGAGAACATGTGCGTCAATACACGTTCAAAGTTTGAAAGCTCTGTCTCTTCATTCTACTGAGTTATGCCACTTTAAGTGTAAGCGGGAAAAATTCCCAATTTAGCTGCAACACCCTGTATAATGTGACCATACATACTAAATGACGCCTTTCGGAGCCTTAATCGGATTCGGAACCCAAATCCCCTGTAAGCACAAACACCGTATCCAAGTCTCACCTTGATGTAATTTCCGACGATCGAGACGTTCTTGAAGTCGAGAGCGGCGTCGATCTCGTCCATCACGTAGAGCGGCGTGGGCTTGTAGTAGTGGAGCGCGAACACCAAGGCGAGAGAGGAGAGCGTCTTCTCCCCGCCAGACAGCTTGGTGATGTTCTTCCATGATTTCTTCGGAGGCCGAACACTGAAGATACGAGTACACAGACCGATGATTGTCGATCATGCTTAGCGGAGCGCAGTGTTAGGGGTGGTACAAGACTAAAATGCCGTGGCAACCAAGCATCGGTATAATGAGTGCTGTGTAGTGATAACACTTACGTGCGCTGTACTTCCCGGGTCGACATACCGTACCGCGTTTACAGGGCATTTATTAGAGTAGATGTGAAGGCGGTCGCGCCACAATTGCCGACTAGGCCGACATTTCGTTTGTCATTACCGCCCCACTTCCAGAGCTGGGAGGACTGGCTGTTGTAAAAATGACCTGATCAAAGGCCAGCCATACTTAGCACTTAAAGAGGCTGTCGTCAGTGCCGCCCTCACCTGAAGACGATGCCCTCCGAGAATGGGTCCAGCGAGTCGACTAACTCCAGCTCTGCGTCACCACCCAGTGTTATCATCTGATACATCTCTGTGGAACAAAGAACAGGAATCACACCTCTGACAGAGATCAATCAGCTCAACAACTCAGTCAGTCACATCAATTCTAACGGATAGAGATCACATCTCTAACGGACGCACTAGAGGGTCATGTTGATGTCTGCCAGATAAAGAAACATTCGACTATTCAACAAGACACCCATGCCAAATCAGCCCTGCCGGACACATTATCAAGTCACAGCTCTGTCGGACACAGAGCAATTACAGTAACATATTCTACCGCACAAAAAAAAAACTACATCATAACCCTACGATGATTCTCCCCTATTCAGGCTGCTAGGAACAGGATTCTGACATACATGTACGCACCTTTCAGTTTGGATGTGATGATAGCGAAGCCGCCCATGAACTCGTTTAAGCGCTGTTTACGCAGGTCGTCGTAGTACTTTCTCTGTGTGTCGCGCTGAGAAGTGATGGCATCCAGCTCCGCCACGCGGTTAAGGTAGATTTCCTCCTGCGGGTCACAACACACAAGACATCAAGGATAGCAGTTTGTACGGTTCGTGACCGATGACGGCATTTCGTGACCTCTGAGCGGACGAGCCAGGTGGACCATTCACACGGACCTACTCGGGTGTGGCTGAGCCTCCTCAGTAACTCACAAATCATAACACAAGCGGCGCATACCTATCAATATGACATGCATTCTGTCGTCGGGATTGGTGGCTAGAAAACCAGGATACATTGCTGGATTGAGCGGATGCGGGACATTTCATGCAGCCAGAACTGCCACAAAATATCGCACCCGAACACTCTCATACATTAGCAGATTTCAAAAATATTTCATATCAAATTATCCTTTACTAAATACTTATATCATCCTATGTCACAGCGTCCCCAGTCATCTTAAAATCCTCCCTAATTCCTGACAGCATCCGATTGTTTTGTGGACAGTGTCGTGTCACATACCGAGTATCTCCCAGAATGCCACCAGCGCATCGGAGTACATTTCGGTACCCTCCAACTCATTCTGATCACGCCCTCCCTCCCGATCCCACCGGGCTCCTCTCCTCTGCTGACCTTTTTCCTGTACTCTGCCAGCGCGGCGAGGTCCGGTTTCAGCCTGCTCAGTTCCTCCTCCTGCACTGTCAGCGTGTATTTGACGGCCTCGTCGTCCAGCTGGCGCAGCTCCTCCTCCGAGAGCTGCGGCAGCTCCGTAATGTCGTCGTCGGCGCGGTCCGACTCCGGCACCGACTGCAGCTCCAGCTTGGACAGCTGTCGGCAGGGGCGGGGTTAGGTCAGAGGTGATGGTAGAGGGACACAGAGCAAGAGAGGCGGGGAAAATACCGGGAAGGACTTAACTATACCAAGGGATGGGTAGAGCTGCAGGTCAGAAATAGAACTGGACAAACAAATAAGGCAGCGGGCTTGAAAAACAGGTACAGACAGAGCTGGCAAAAGGTCGTCAAAACACGCAACATCGTACCGTGGTCCCCGATCCCAGCTCTGACATTGTAGAATGTAGTTGCAAGACATAACCACCTCCCAGCTAGGCAGTAACGCTCACAACATCACCAGCCAATGACAGCTCACTCAGGCCGTCACCAACATACCTGTTTCTTCCAGTGCTGCGCTCTGGCCTTGTTCTCCTTGATGACGCCGTCAAACTTCTCCATTTCCTGGTCGATCTCGATCTTGGAGGCCTTGACCTTGTCCTCGTCAGCGGCTGCCGTGTCGCGCTCCTCCTTCAGCGCCGACAGCTGCTGGTCCATCTCCTTCCGCTTGTCCTGGAACGCGGCGAATAGGAGTCAGCCCACAGAACAGAATACATACAAGAAGGACACGGCATGGACGACGCACTGTTGCTTCGTTTGTTTGAGTTTAGAGGCACGTCGTACACAGGATATAGAGTAGACTTACACCACAGGTCAGTATCGGAAGTATGGCTATTATTGCCACAATGAACAATCTTAGAAGCATAAAGGTGAAGCTAATGTCAGCTTTACCAGTCCACTGCCATCTACAAAACGGCGCAGAGCAATACAGAATTTGAAAAGGACGCCCGGGACCAGATTCCAAAAGAGCTACCCACCGGCACATCACGCCGTCCAAGTAAACTCCGCCCAGCCGGGCATCCTCACCTCGAGTTCCTTGATGGCCTGGATGGCTACCGCAGCCGTCTCCTCCAGCTTCTCCCGCTGATCACACAGAGACTGGAACGCACAGTCGTAAGCATGTGAGACAGTAACTACGGCCGGATACAAAATATTTTCGCAAGTCACAAATGACACAAACGTCGAGAGAAATAAAATATTTTGTGAGATTAGGTGGATAGTCTGGACAGTAAGAAAAGTAGTATTCATGCCACGAAAACACGTTTAATGGGCACATACAGTCTGTTAGGACGGTTCTACGCACCTGTTTTTCCGCCTCAGCCTCTTTCTGTTCGGTCTCCATCGCAGCGATCTTGTCCCGACACTTGACGGCATTCCTCTCGGCCGTTTTGATGGCTACCCCCAATCGGACAATGTCACCGCTCACCTGGCCCGCAAAAGGTCACCGGTCAGGTCAGGTCAGGTCACGAGGTCAAAGTGGGACGATTTGGACCAGATGAATGAAGCTTGTCCGGCAGGTCGGATGTTCAATAAATGATATTGTAAGCACTGTGGCAAGTAAGGATGGCCCACGATTGCTTTACGATACAATAATGTCAGAAGGATCGCAGACCTAAACTATGCCGTTGAACAGGAACCTATGCAAATCCTACAGATAACTGTACTGGCTTGCTCAATCATATGCACCCAAGTACAGCTAAGCGGCCCTCAGTCGGGTAACGAGCTCAGATCGGTAGCGTGAGAACCTCTGACCTTTTCCAACTTCTTGGTGGCGTCGTCGAGTTTCTTCTGGGCGGCTTTCACCTTGCCTCCGGAGACCTCCATAATTTTGGCGTGCACCGCCTTCACCTGGTCCTCGACGGCGCTGGCCGCCGACTCGGCCTTCTCATACTCTGTCAAAAGGAAGAGATGACACTAGTCATCAGGTTATCTCAGTTAAGCTGATAAAGTCGGTGCAGCACCAGCAGCAGTACTACAATGTAATTAAGTTAGTGTTATGAAAGAGTGCAGCTGTAGTGTTAATTAAGACGTCCGACGGCGAACCGCTACGAAACGCGGCAAAGCTTTAGCTTGGAAATTGCGATAAATCGTGCGTTTTGTAAGACATAGCCCCACCCCATTCTGACGGAACATGACCATTGATCATCACAGCTATCTGATGACAAGTGACCACGGCGAAGTCAGACACCCATCCCGAGGCCCTGTGGCGGGCGGCGGCACGGGGGACTCCCATCGTTACCTTTGGTGGCCCGTTTGAGCTGGGCCTCCATTTGTCTGACGGTGGCCGGGTCGGGCGTGGCCTGGGCCACCTTCTCCCGCTGCTCGGCGATCTGACGCTCCAGCTGCTCCAGCTGGCCGGCCGCCGCCTGCGCGTCCATCGTGTGCTTCCGCTGCTCCATCCGCATCTTGTCCAGCTTCTTCTGCAGCGCCTCCACGGCCTCCTCCAGCTGGTGGTGCTTGCGCTTCAGCTCCTGCACGCGCTGGGCGATGCCGCTCACGTCTGCCTCGGCGCTCTCCACCTCTGCCTGTGTCACCTCGGCCTGGACGACTTTGGTGCCCATACGGCCGCAGAACGACTTCTTACCGCCGCCAGACATCGTACCTGAGGAACAGACGGAAAAAGCGTCAGATAGGGCCATTTCAGACAGGAAGCTTAGCAATGGGGAGAGTACGAGTCGGAAAGGCCGGAACAGGTGGAAACGGCTGTCCTTGTTATGCAACTCATTTTGAGAAAGGCATCAACACGAACGTTATCATACCTTCAGAATTCAACACAAGCAAATTGAACTGTGAAACATATGGAGACTTGTCAGAACACAAAAGCCGATAGTCCGTCCACTACACCCCACCCTCCGAATCTAACATCCAACCCCATCAGAAGCCCCCGACTGACCTGACGTCTCGATCAGGTCACCGCGCAGTGTGACGACGCGATGACGCTGGCGGCCGTAGCCAATCCTCGTCGCCTGCGTCAGATCATCAGCCACCAGAGTATCCCGCAGGGCGTAATAGAACGCCGTGCGCACTCGCTCATCCTTAACCTGGACCAGGTCAAACAGTCGAGGCACATTCTCCGGAGTCTGGATGGGCGTCTGCGTGTGCTGTCGCCACTTCTCCATCTTATCCAGCGCGATGAACGTGGCGGTGCCGATGCTGTTCTGTTTGAGGAACTGGATGCACTGCTGCGCCGTGTCCACACTGTCGACCACGATGTTGTCCAGGGGTCCGCAGGCGGTCGATATGGCCACGTCGTACTTCTCGTGGATGGCGCCCAGGTCACCCTGAATGGAGGGGGTAGGAAGAGGGGGCTCAGAAGACGGTCGACTAATGCCATGGGATATCACTTTTAGATACAATGCGCATTATGTTGGCTGAAATAATAGGTATATCATGGCTGGAAATTAAGAAGACACGAGAAGACGCGAGAAGCGCCGGACAGGAGACGATAAGCAATAAGCCAAATCCTATGCATGCGACTCCCAAAAGTCCAAAAGTCCAAAAGTCCAACAGCACCCAAAACGTTCGCCGGGAAGGTGCCGTTCGCCCCAATCCCTCCCCTCTCTACCCCGCCACTACTACCGCTACTCACCAGCCGTCCAAACACACCGGGCAGGCTGCCGTTACGCTTCTGCTCCATGACGGCGCTCAGCACGGCGCCGCGGCCCCTGCCGGACTGCAGTGCCGATCGCACCTCCTCCAGTCGTCCGCGGCCGACACGCAGCTGCTCGCCGGCTGTCGCCAGCTCCTGGGCGGTGCTGGCCAGCTCGGTACGCGCCGCCTCGAGCCGCTGCTCGGCGCGCGGCACCTCCCGCTCCAGCTCCGAGAGAAGTCTGGCCGGGGGGAAAGGGCGGGCACTGAGTGTGGCGGTAGGTGGGGTAGGAGATGAGGCATACCAAAGTCACCAAGTCATAGATATCTGACGCATCCAGAGGATAGATATACCGATATCAAACACTGGCTTTCTAACGCGAGATGCGCAGAATGCAACTATGAATAGAAACACGACTTGGAGAGGGTAGGTACTTTCCCTAAAGTGCGTTGCGTTCGAGGATTCACGATAGCTACATCGTGGAATTGTTCGTGATCATTTAAATACGGACAGCAATTGCGAACTTCATGATAATAATGAGCGATCTGCGCTGCATAATATCTTAATGCTTGCACTGTTCGATCTGATGAAATCTCAAAAGAACACATACGCAAAGCTTTGCTCTTCGATACTCAACTGTAATGCCGATGCAAACTGCTTATCCACACATACGAGCGTCTCTGCAATGTGCATATTGCTTTTGATAATGAGACGACCCACCGTAAGCTACGCTAGTCTCAACGCGCTTCCTCCCATATGCAATTTAGTCTTCCCAAAAGTTATCTCTTGCAACCTCTGCCATGTCCTTATTGCAGCATAGCTATTTGCGTAGCTCGTAAGATATGAAGTCTTATTTTAAGCGCTACTGTAATTATCATGCCAATATTTTAGAATATGCATGACGGTCATGATTTACAATTTACATAGAGATGTCTTTGATTTGAAATGCTCAAGGAGCAACTCTTTCAGGCATTCAACCCCGTCACCTTGTCACAAAGTATGGCCTCAAACAATTATTCCAAAACCGTCGAGAAATTCTAAACAGTGCGAGCCTGACGGACCTCGGGCGCTGGTCCACCGAACCGGCGCACCTGTAGTGTTTAGGAGTACGACTGGAGCCGAACCGGGTCAGGTTTATAAACAACACACTTCATTTATCCGACGTGTATTAAACGAAATGGCGGTTGCGAATAAATAGGCTTGTCTATTCCGACGCACAAATAACACTGAAATGTTAGAAATATAGGTACGATACATATTCGCTCGTGCTTACGCATGCCATAAAATTAAGTGATAAACATTTTATTTGTGAGTCATACGAGTGTGTATTCCACAGTGAAAAAAGGGAACGGAGCCCTTCGGTACAAACAACGACAAAACATGTATGGTGGCGCAAACACAAATTACTGAGGGTCATATATTCTATCATTAGTCTATTTATGTTCTTCCCTTCAACGAGCTGAGACCAATTCTTCTTCATCCAGCCAATCGTACTTCAATTCTCTCAATGCAGCTAAATCTTAGAACGACAAAAACACCCATCAGAAATATCTTACATTAACAGATCTCCACACGGATTACGATCCAGTCACCAAAGACTGAAATGGTGATTTCTGAACAGATCATTTACCTACAAAAGTGATCCCCAGGCGGAAAGAGCTCTACATATGCAGGTGCCCGGCCTCCCCACTGGCGACAGATTGTAGTTCCAGAACTGCAGGAGCTGAAACGACATGTACGACTTCCTGCCTTCCCAGCGAAATAGTGTTATCCAGGTCATTAATGTGACTGTGCTTGCAGCAGAGCATCTTGCGGTAGGCGGCACGAAGCTTGGTGTTCAGGAGACCGTAAGCCCAGCCCTCGGAAATGAAGGCCAGCAGGCGCACCTGGTGCAGGAAGCCGTTCACCATCGGCTGCGGGTACCAGTGGCTGCTGATGCGCAGGATCGGAGCCACAACATCCAGCGAGACAGTGAGCGACAGTACGACCAGGATCTTCTTGAACGCGCGGTAGTTGTCGAGGAAGGTCTTGTTGCTGTCTCTCTCCTCGCCGCTGGACGTGTTATTCCGGCGGATGTCGCGAGTTTCTCGCATCAGTCTGGCCTTGATTCTGTGCCCGACCACACCCGTGTGCAGAAGCAGAGAGGCAGTGATGAGTGAGAACACCACCATCTCCATCTCAACGAAAACGGAACTGTAGTAGGACAGCGCCGACTCCCAGCGGCAGCCCGCGTAGGTCGAGTTGCTGCCCAGGCGCACGCTCCTCTCGGCAAACGTCTCCAAGTCAAGAAGGTGAGCGAAAAAGCCAGTCACAACATGAGCGACACAAGTTAGCCAGGTGACAGCGAAGAGCAGCGGTCGCGACTGCACCATGATAGAGTAGTGCTGCAGGGGGTACATCACGGCCACATACTGATCAACAGCGACGCACATCTGGGAAGCCTTGGTCGCCACACCCAGGCCAAAGCCCGAATACTGCATGCCGCGACACAGAGTCACACTCTGGAGGCGTACGACGTCGTACAGCCCGATCAACATGATGGAGAGGCCCATTCCCGTGGACACGAGCGCCATGTTGGCGGCCAGAACAGCCATCGGTTCCTCCCAGAGATGTTGGTTTACCAGAACCGTGATGAGGGGGAAGGAGAAGTTGGCTGCCAGCGCAGCACCTACCAGCGTCTTCACCCAGTAGTACAGCATGCTGACCTCTAGATTGGCTGACTGTGCCGACGGCAATGCTGGCCTCTCCTCAACATACGTCCGAGTGATCAGGGTCGTCGACTAAGACGGTTTTTATAGTGTGCGTGCTAGTGTAAGGAGGAAGTAACCATGGTTTCGTTACGCCACCACCTCTCTCGCTACTGAGCTAGTACCACGAATATTGAAGATTATCTCATGAGTTTACTGAGCGCAGAACCTCTCTCGGGCTAAAAACAATGACAGGTCAAATGAAACAGCTCCCTCCGTCTTATGCCAATCAGGATGGATTGCTCGTTTGCCCCTCACAGAAAAATCAAGCACCAACATTTCTTGGTACATGCCCAGTGTATGTGCCTACCCGGCTGCCTCTATGTGCTCGTGCTGTGGCTGAAGCGGAAGAAGCAGAAGCGATTGCGATTTTAGCACCAATGATCGCTTTAACCCGCGCCGTGCTGGTGGCCTGAACTTTCCGCCGAGTGCTAGGAGAGGGGGGAGGGGTGGAGTGAGACGTTTTCAAGACCCCCTCCCCTCGTCTAACTCGGCTCTAAGCGGCAATCAAAAGAGCGTCAAAAAATAAGGAAGACACTTCAGTCAATTTTAAGGTCAGGCCAAAGGTCAGGTTACCAGAGGTCATCAAAGGGCAAAGTTTGTCGATTTCAACAATTTTGAAACACCCGACGGCTAAGTCGGGAACAAATAGAGCTACATACAGCGCCGCAGAAACACGCATTAGATAACTCTTTTAACATTCTTTCGCTATCGTGGACTCAGAGTTGACCTCTGATCAACGGTTTAGCCTCTAGAGGGCAAAACCCTAAAAATAGCCCGTTTTTACGGAAAAAAAGTTTTGTTCGGTCATAGACCTCTGGTGTACAGAGGTCTATGGTTCGGTAATAACTTTTGACGCAGGAAAGACACGACACTACTTTTGCCAGCATCGTGTTCTCTTCGTCAAGACCCGTCGAATGATCTATAATTTGACCTTGAAAGGTAATTTTGAAAATTTGACTTCAGGTCAAGGTTAGGACCTGACCGAAAAGGGTCATGCTGCATATCAGTCGATCCGTATCGTCGAGCTGAACACATCTGACGTGTATTCACCGCTCTAGCTCCTGTCGGTCATAAGTTATAGCAAAAAAAAAAACTGCTGAAGACCTTTCATGACCTGACATGACCTCAGGGGCAATCAGAGGGGTCACATAAGTAATTTTCCGATTAAGTGGGTCATGTTTACCCATGAATCGATTTTTGAGAGGGTTTAGAGCGACATTCGTCCAAAAGAGGCGCATTTCAATTTTCTCTCATTAACTTAAAACGGAGAGGTCGCAAAATTGACCTGAACTTAGGTCATAAAAAAATCAGAGATATACATTTTATACATATCGTTGCCCTAACTAATCTCTGAAAGTTTCAAAGAGATCACTCATTCGGTGTAGCTACAGCGAGCCTTCGAACTTTTTTCTGAGGTATGGTCATTGGTCACTTGACGTAACCTGACATTAATTAAAGGGACACTCCCACCTTAACATTAGTTTTGAGTTGAGATAGCCAAATTGGTGGCCATGGCCCGCAAATACCGGTTTGGGCACTCACAACATCGACAAATGCTTTAATTCGGAGATATGGAATTTCAAACTTGCAGTTTTCGGATTCTAAGGGGCTAGTGCATTGGTATGCCCCCTTAGAATTTGTGACGTCAGCGGAGATCTAACGATTTTTAAATCTTTTACTAAAACGTTTGGTAGCACGCGGTGGTATATGCTGCTTTGCGCGCAACAAATGCCGCACTTTCAAATAAAGTCGCTAGGAACAGCGGAGATCCCAAAAAGTAAACAAAAGTAAAAGTCTAATATCTTGAAAACCGGTGAATATTTTTCGATGAAATTTGGTAGATATTCGTTTTCGCTCTTTCTGAACCGAGCGACATCACTTTCGTGCCAATTCATTAACTTTTTTGAAGGTGGGAGGGTCCCTTTAAATGACCGGGCCGGGGTCTGAAATTTTCACAGCATGTGCTGAAGATATGCGAACAGGTGTACCAAAAACGACGGCTTGCGAAAAACCTGATGGGGAGGGGCGTAAACACGCCCTCCCCCCCCCCCCGCACGGCGCGGATTAATGACGCCGACTTATGTGGCAACTCAGATGTCATTAGAAGTACAATGGTACCGTTACATAAATGGCTACAAAGCCTGCATGAGAAAAGCTCTAGTTAGATCAGCAATAATCCTACTAAATGGACAGCCCAATAATGGCTTGTTAGCTAGGCATTTACTAGCGGTAAAGACAGTGCCAATACCGAGTTCCAACTACCGCCACTTCGTGCCCAATCAGGCCCGATTATCCCCAAAACAACCTACGAAGTATGAACACGGCAGGCGGACAAAACTCATGGAAGTAGGGATTGGAGCGCCTAATTAGTCTGAAACTGCAGACCTGAGGCATCCTGAGGCCTCTTGTACCATAATAAATACCTAGCTAAGTAAGCGGCGAACTATTCTCGTAGTTAGCTAGTCTACAGAAGCAAATTCTTTTGCGCCAC